TGTGTGTGTGTGTGTGTGTGTGTGTGTGTGTGTGTGTGTGTGTGTGTGTGTGCATGCAAATGTCAGTGTGAGTGCGTGGCACATGTGTGTTTCCTGCCTGTGCAGCAGGCTGATAAAAACAAAGAACCACAAACCTTGTCCCCGCTCCCACTTTGTCTTTCCCTGCTTCCATTCAGGGTGAAACTCCATAAATTAAAGACCACAACCTGTCGGGGTGCAGCCAAGGCCTGACAGCTGTGTGCTGGTTGTGGCACTGTGTGGGACTGTGTGGGATGAGGAGCTTGCTCCATTAAGTTGCTCGTCTGGCTTTTTCATTAGTGGTATAGCCTGTATTATTATATCAACACTGGTATTTGGTCTTTCTTTATCACTAAATAGGTCAGTTACTGCACTCACTAACAACAGGGAAGTAGCATGGGCTGCTTTTTGAAACCATGGTGGCTATTGTGTTACTCTCATTTTACCTGATTCGTCCACTATTTCCGTGATTGCCCTCTCCAGGGTTGCTAATAACTGCAGTAGTAGATGGTCTGGACTAAAATTGCTGAACACATCCCCCAGAGAACAATGTGGAACACTTTTGTTGGTCTCTTGATGTTTTTTTAAATCGTCTGATCATAAGATCAAAACTGTCTATTGTTATGGTTAAATACATGCAAATGATGCTGGCATGTTATCATGCTGAACCATAAACAGTTTAAACAATAGATGTACCTACAGCACTGTGCGAATCTCTTCAGCTAACTCTCATTTCTCTGCATATTTTTTCCAAGGAGTCAGACTTTCTTTTAAGGTTTTTACACCTAACTGAAAAAACCTTAGCAAAGAACCAATTTTAAAATGTATCTTTAGGCACTTTGTTACCAGCAGTTTGCTGTGAATCTGCGAGGAATTCTAGATGCAACACAGGTTGACAGGCTTAAAATATTTTCTGTGTGTCAATAAGGTGATTCTCAAAGAGCCATTAGCTAAACACTTGCCATATCTCATCATCATGTATCCTTAAAAAATGTGAAAAAACAAAACTTGTGTCTGCGCTGTAACATTTGTTTTTGCATTTGAAGAAAAGCGCTGACACGGGGCCTGAGAGATGGATCTGACCTTTCAGCTGATCCATCTACAAAATAAGGTCTGTAAAACAAGGTGGAAGCTCTGTCATGGTTTGGGAATGCAACATAATCTGGAAAGCCTCTGTTTAGCAACAGCTTCATATTTCAAAATGACAATGATCCCAAATACGCTGCCATTGCAGTAAAGTCTCATTCACGGATTGGCCTCCTCAGACTCCAGATCCCAATATTATTAGAACAAAAAGCAGCCAACATCCAAAGAAGAGCTTTGAATATCCTTCAAGAAGCCTGGAGAACAGTTCCTGAAGGCTACTTAAAGAAATCAGAAGAAAGCTCACTAAGAGAGTTCCAGCTGTGTTGAACTCTGTTAGGCAAAGGCGGTCACACCTTGTGTTAATTTTCGAGCTGGTTAGAATTGTAAAAATTCTGTTATTCCACATATGACTGCACACTTCATTAACTTCCTAAAACCCAAACTCTTCCACGGCATGCATTTTTAATTTCTCTTTGATATTTGGGCTGATTGGGACCCGATGAACGTAAAAACAAAGAATTACCAGATTTTTTTCTTTTTACCTGATTTTTTGTTTCTAAGAAAAATGAGAGCCACATATTCGTTTAAAATTTCGATTGACCAGTAGCAGTGTAATGTACTCATAAGTGGATATCAGGCCCTTGTAGAGCAAAATGGAGTATTTTGGTCTAAATAACCCAAAATGTGATGTCTACAAATGTGGATGCCAGGTCCTAGGAGGTTAAATCACTGCAGAGTACTGCAAACGCCAGTGTTAGAAGTAAGTTCTCCAGACTGTCCATTAAGCCAAAACACAGCACCTTCTCTATGTAGTCATCTGCCAGGTATCATCATTATCATCATATTATTATCAATATTTCTTAGTCTATATTCTGCCTGTAGTCTTTTACATTGTTTTCTTGCGTTCTTTATCAACTAGTCAGTTATATCCATATATAGCATTTGTTCTTGTTTTATACTTGTGCATATATGCTGTTATGCTTCGTTCCATACATTTGTATATTTAGATTGTTATTCATGAGAATTGTGAGATACTAATATGGTGCTAATGACACAATAATACTTAAATAATTGTTCTTCTTTTACTCGTTACAGATTAATCTGTGTGCATTTTTAATGTTCCCTTTATATTGTGAATTCCTCTAGCTTCAGTAATCCTGAAAATTTGCAACAATTTAAATATTTATTCCACCACTCTCTGTTCTTTCTCAAATAGCTAAAAGCGCTCCACCACAATCTTTTCTGTTCTGTTCTACAGAACAAAATCACTCCACAGTGACAGTGTAAGCAACAGCTTACCTGTGTAAATGAAAGAAAGAAAAAATATTTATTATGTACTAAACTGAACAAAGTGTTTCAGTTTTATGATGCAAACCTTTTTCTTAATGTGATACCGGTTTTGTAGATATTTTGCTCCCATTTTAGGATGTTCAGAAATCTTCTATCAGATCAAAATGTTTTATCATGTATTTATCGTTGTGCGGTTGTAGTTAACGGTGGATGTTATTGTTGTGTTGCCTGTGTTTTTGGATGGAAGAGTGTGAAAGACATACAAAGGCAGGGAGAGGGAGATGGAGGTTCGATTGTGAAGGTGTTGCAGTATGTTTTTAGGCAGAGCAGAGCTAGGCTGCAGCGGTATCTCTCCAAACAAAGAAGCACTTTCCTTCCCCTTCTCAATTCAATAGCTGCGTGCATGTCTGCACCAGTGTGGGAACGGCAGGTTAACCACAACACAGTCAGTACCATTGTTCTTCTTTATTTACTGGCACTCCATGAAAATCAAGAAGTGGTAAAGCCAGGCATGCATAATTATACTATTAGACTGAAAGCTGCTGTGACCGCAGAGTTGTAATTATTATCTATGCACTGCGATCATGTTTGTATAATGGGTGACACATTAGCAGAGAGACAAAGCTCATTCTGAGACTTTTAGTGTTTTAGTGTTAAAGTTTAAACAGGGTTCATGTTTTTTTCTTTTTGTTTGTTTTTTGACAGGCACCTTTACCTTTTCGCTCATTATGGTTTAGATAAAACTCTTTAAGACTTAATATCATGTGGATTCTACATGGGTAAGCACAAAACATCACACTTCTATACTGACAGTCTGTCTTTTGAATTAATGTGGAATAAAATGTCATAAATAAACGTAAATATCTACTCCTCAAATGAGGCTGGTATTTGTGTCGTGGCTTATTTTCTAAAGGTCTGCATCGGTGCGAACAGGCCAGCAGACGGCAGAATAGAGCAGTAAATTAAATACATAAGGAGAACTGGAAAACTTCTAACTCTCTTTTTGTTTGTTGATCCAGCACTCAAGAGGTTTAATGTTTTAAACGTGATAGATATGCTCTTTGAGGGTCAAAAGATCAAAACTGGGATAAAATTATAAATATTATATTATATTTTATTGCTGTACATACATACATACACTCTTTTCTGAGGTTTCTAGTATTTCTCAACCTTCTCGTGTTCCTCCTTCCTGTCATTCAGAACCGCTACATCTATCACTATCACAGACTGCAAAAGTCTTGAGGAGCCCCGCGTTTCTTTATAGTTCATTTCCATCTAACTTGTATTTTTTAAGTGGCCTTGAGTTCTTCAGGTTTTCTGAAAATCTTTGGACACTGGTTGTTTTCTCATTCATTCATTTTCCATCCAGTCCTTGTACGTGACTATTTTCAGACATTGTTTTTTGTTTGTTAAGCAACTTAACACTAACATATAACTCTAACTAAAGGGATGAACCAGCGGTATGTCTACACATAACAGACAACTTTGAAAAGAACAAATTTTAAATTGTACCTTTTAGACATTTTTTTTAGTTGAATCTATGAAATATATATATATATATGTATAT